TAGGAGGCCAGTTTTCCGGTTCTGGCTCAGCCACAGGGTGTGGGAGCATGAGGATGCTATGTGGCTACTCTGTGCCTATGGTAGTAATCACCGCTCTTACCTGCCTCTCAGGGCTGGCACCAGAATTAAGGGCTCTGGATTCCCTAGCTAATGGGTGTGCAACGATCATAAGTGTCATTATGAGCCTTGGGTGTGGCTCCGCCTAGAGATGGGCTAGACAGTGGTTGTCAAACTTTAGTGTGCCTAAAATTTAGCAGGTCTGGGTGCACCTGGAGAATTGCATTTTTTTTTTTTTTTTTTTTAATTTTTTTTTTTCCAACGTTTATTTATTTTTGGGACAGAGAGAGACAGAGCATGAACGGGGGGGAGGGGCAGAGAGAGAGGGAGACACAGGAATGGGAAGCAGGCTCCAGGCTCTGAGCCATCAGCCCAAGAGCCTGGCCAGGGCTCGAACTCACAATTGTGGTGTGACCTGGTCGGACGGCAACGGCCTAAGCCGCCCAGGCGCCCCTGGAGAATTGCATTTCTGATAAGCTCCCTGATGATGTTGATGCCGCTGGCCCCTGGATTAGCAAGGGCAATGGGGTAGTAAGGGACTAGACCACGTAACCGTTTCCACACCAAAGGCTCTCTGGGTTTGTTTTCCTGGCTGCTCTCCAGGAAGCTGTTATTCTGCAGAGGGATGAGAGAACGACCTCCTACTATGCGCACGACCTCCTACTATGTGCACGTGCTTCACATCCACTGCCTAATTCGTATCCCACAACAGCTCTTAGGAGGCCAGTGGTATTGTCATTCTACAGGTAAGAAAACTGAAGCTCAGAGAAATAGAAAGTTGCCCAAAGTCACACAGCCAGTGCCAGAATCAGGATTTAGACCCAAGTCTTTCTGATTCCAACACTAGTGGATAGCTCTTTCACTATATCGTAGCTCAAACTTTCCTCTAAAAATCACCCATTACCCAGTTAAAAATATACGTTCCCGGGCCTTGCTCTCTGAGTCTCATTCAGTGGGTCTAGACAAGTCAAGGTAGCGGCATTTAAAAACAAAAAAATCACCCCAGGTGATTCTAAGGCTGAGCACCTGCAAGGCACACCTGGAGAATGGGAGAACACCCGTGCTGCCTCACCTGACCCTTCAGGTGCAAAGCGTTAGTCCAAATCTCAAACTTCAGGATGTGTTAGAACACCTGGAGAGCTTGTTGAACTACAGATTCGAGGGCCCCCACCCACAGAGTTTCTGATTCCACAGATCTGAGGTGGAACTCAAGAATTTGCATTTTCCAACAAGTCCCAGCTGATGCTGATGCTACGGGTCTGGGGACCACACCTTGAGAACCACTGTCTAGAAGCCGGCTTTCGAAAGTGTGATCCATGGGCCAACGGCATCGGCCTCACTTGGAAGTTTAATCCAGCATCTCGGGCCTCACCTCACAGCTACCGAATCAGAGTCTGCATTTTAACACAATCCCCACGTGATCTGCATGCACCTTAGAGTTTGAGACGTACTGCCCTAGAGGACCCGGAATGAGGACACACAGGGGATGGAGGTGGATGGAGAGTATTTCTCCTCCACATAGAGTTTGGAGATCAGCAAAGAGGGGCCAGGCTGTTAGGATGAGCACCCAGAGGGGGCTGATGAGGAGCTGAGAGGCGAGGCTTGGGAAGGACAGAGGACTCTTTCCCCAAGGAAGATAGAACAGAGGCACACTCTGAAGAAATGAGGTAGGCCTCAGGAATGGCTTCATAAGGCAGCATTCATCTTGCCCCTGGAGAGTGGCGAAGAAATTCTGTGGAGTGCATGGCACCAAGGAGGGGGGGCTAGGGGACTGAAGCCTTCCGCGAAGGGACAGTGGCTTCCAGGCAAGTGATGGGTGAACACACCTCTGTATAAACGGGTGCCGAGCAGCTATGAGGGCCCCGCTAAGGTGGGAAAGCAGGGGTCTGTGAGTGACCCAACAAAGCCAGTGGTTTGAGTGCCCCGCAGTGCTCAGCAGCGGAGAAAACCAATAGCCACATGGGGGTGGAGGGGCCACAGATGGGCACCGTCATGGCGGGCCAGGGGATGATTGGAGGGTGGACACAGTGGGAGGTCCAGGCTATGGGACCAGAGAGAGTAGAAAGAATAAATTCCACTAGAAGATCACTGAGCAGTTCATCTTCTTTAAATTAAAAAAAAAAAGGGGGTGGGGCGGGTGGGTGAGTAAGATCCCTCAAAAGGACTAGACTTCCTGTTTCTTCCTTAGTGCATATGAATAGCCAAAATTGAAGCATTTCGCTTCTCTGAACTCCACAAATCTTACTGGGTGGTCAGGAGGACCTAGGTTGTGAGACAATGGGGGTAGGGATGCTGTGGGCCCCCAGCACTCCTCAGCCTCGGTCCCTGGCCATGCAGCTAAGAAGTGAGGGAAGCTGGAGAAGGAATCCAAGCCCAGGGCTCACTCCCAGGATAGCTGCGTCTTCCTGTCAGTGCTGCCTCTTTTAACAGCTGCTCACATTCTCACACAGTGTCCTCCTGCCCGGCTGAGCCGGGGACCCACAGCTCAAGGACCTACAGAGAAACCAGTACGGTACAGTTAAGTCCTCTGTGTTTAGTCAGTACACAACTCTCGTTCCCCGAGAAGAGTGCTGGGGATAGTCAGGGCTCTGACATCAAACAGGCCTGCCAATTTCTACCACCTGCTGTGCTGACCTTGGGCTATTTATCTTACCTCTCCGGGCCTTTGTTTCCTTTCCACTAAGCTCTGTAAGGTTAGAGACCATTTGTCTTTTTTTTTTTTTTACCACTCTGTCTGCACCTAGCACTGTGCAGGGCAAGGGCACATAGTAAGTTCCCTTCTCTCTCCCTCTCTGCTACCTTGTGACCACTTTGCACAAGGCACTGTCCTTGGCCAGGCTTGCTGGGCTAGCATGAGCTGGTTTGATTGTAAAATGAACAAAATTGCCGGTCCTCCTGCGAAGCAGGCACTACACCATGAAAGAACAAGAATTTCCTGATTCCCTTCCATGCCAGGGATGGCGAGAAGCAAATTCTTGACAACTGTTTGTCTGGGGAGGCGTGGCATGCCACTGCCCCCACCAAGGCCAGGTGCCCTCCACCCTCGCTTTCTCAGCACACTTGGAAGAATGGCTGCCAGACATTGCCCATTTGGAAAAGTACAGCTCAATAGATATGAATCAGCTTGGGCAGGCGGAAAATGATTCACGTCTGACCAACTTGATTCAGTTTGGGCTGTCCATTCTGGATCTTTTTCTCCCCTCTAGTTAAATGATGATTGGCCTCGATGGTGAGAGGGAAGGGCCTGAATGTAATCTGCCTGTGTTCGTGGAAGCCTGGGGACAGGCTGGAGGAGGGGAGAAACATTCCCATTGGTTAAGAAGTAATGCCGAGGGGGAATAGCGGCAGTATTGGGGACTCTCGTACCTCTCCGGTCTTTGGGGCTGTGTCTTTGGTGACTGCTGCCCGTCTGGAACTCTGCCTTTACCGTGTTCTCCATCGGAAAACTGGTTAATGGTGCCCATTCCTGACCTGTCTCCAGGGAGCACACAAAGACTTAAGCTTAATTAACCTACTAGATACAGCTCTTGAATCACCGGGCACAGTTAGGGCTGGGAAGAAGCATGGTGATAAAAATGTCTCCCTCATCCCTGCCATCTCTCAGACTCAAGCCTGTGTGCTGGTGCTGCTGACTCCTGCAAGTGTCCCCAGATGTTTCTGCCTTGGGCTGGTTTGCCAAATGCCTTGTTTCCTGTGTCTTGTGGCAGCTTAGCTCCTCAAGCCCTTGGGCAGATGAGCCTGAGAACCCTGTTTGTCCTCCCCTCCCTCCCCCAGTGACATGCTGTGGCACTGCCTCTTCCCCTGGTCACTGGTAGTCATTTACAAGCACCCATTATGGATCAGGACTGTACCAGGTTATGATGATAACTGTAGTCAATTGAATAGCTACCAGGTGCCAGGCACCGTGTCTCATCTGGTCTTCTCAGCCACCTTCTGAGATGACTGGGAATGTCGCTATTTTACTGATGAGGAAATGGAGGCTCAGAGAAGAAAGGTGTCCAAAGTCATAGCTATGAGTTAAGTGGCCAGAGTCAGGATTCAAGCTCAGGCCTGACTTCAAAGCCCATGCTCCTTCTAAATAAAGAAGTAAACAACAGTGCCTCCTCCAGTAAGTGGGGCTAGTCAACAGCAGATCCACCAGGCCTTGGTGGGACTTTGCTAGGTGCTGAGGGCTGTATACACAGTCCTCTCTCTCCAGGGTCTGTGTGCCTTCCCCACATTTGTGACAGCGCCACATTCCCTCCTGGTTATTAATAAGCTGAGAGGGGCACCTGGGTGGCTCAGTAGGTTAAGTATCCGACTTCATCTCAGGTCATGATCTTGAGGTTCATGGGTTCAAGCACGGCATCGAGCTGTGTGCTGATGACTCAGGACCTGGAGCTTGCTTCGGATTCTGTGTCTCCCTTTCTCTCTCTCTGCCCCTCCCCTGTTCACTCTCTCTCTCTCTCTCTCTCTCTCTCTCTCTCTCTCAAAAATAAATAACGATTAAAAAAATTAGGCAGAGGAAGAAAAAAAAAATAAGAGGCAAATTCGGTGGGTTGCTATTCCTAGGCGTTAGAGTTCCAGGGAGGATAAGTAAATACCCGCAGTTCTCTCCAGAAGGATAAATAGGAAGACTTCATACTGAGGAGAGCGAGACACACTTGGGGGCTGAGCGAGGCAGCGATGGAGTGGACTCCCCCATACTCACTCTGCCTCCTCCTGCACTGCCTCACCCCTTTACCCATGGCAACTCTCATGTCAAGGAGGAAGGGAAGCTCCATTCAAAGCCCTGGATACTTTCTCAGGGCCAATTTTTGGTTCAGGAAGTCCCTCCTCACTTCATGCCATCTTTCTGCCAAATTAAGCCATAGGAAATCCCTTCCAGTGTGAGTGCCCTGGGCCTTTACCATTCAGGTCTCAGTGGTACCCTTCGTAACTTCCTTGCTCTCTTCCTTTCCCAGGCGTGGATTTTAAGATGAAGACCATAGAGGTAGATGGCATCAAAGTGCGGATACAGATTTGGTGAGTTGAGTAGGGGGAGGAGATGCGGGAGGAGAGCCCCAGGCTTCCACTGCCATGTGTAGAAATCCCAAGGCTGCATCTGGGATAACTGGCCACCTCTTCTGTGGAGAGAAGCAGATGTCTCAAAGCCCATCTCTTGCTCCTAGGAGCCTTAATCTCTTTTTCTTAAGAAACCTTATGAGATTGGCCACAAGTCACCAAGGGGCAGGAATTAGAAGGAATTGGCAAACTAACCAGTTGGCTTTGTTTTCGGAAAAGGCTTTGCCCTTGGGCCATGCTGCAGTGTGGTAGGAGGGAGGGCTACCTGGGACCCTGGGGAGAGAGCTCCATCTAGCATGGTGCAGTTCCCACCAGTAGCCACAGGGGGCCGCTGTGGCTCTCTGGCCTGACGCTCCTGCAAGCCTGGCCTTTGAACAGCCTTTGGAGCTGCCTCCAGGTTGAGAAGGGTACATGTGTCCACCCTGTCTGAACACAACGGCCAAATTCTACAGAGTTGTCCAAGGCCCAGTTATGTTTGAAGCTCCTGGCGTAGCTGTAGTTGACAAGACCCCATCAGCCCTGTCAGCACCAGATAATCAGGCCTCTCTCCCGCAGGGTCAGATATGCTCAGACCCCCTTGGGGATCCAAGCTCCTCTGATATTTCACCCTGTAGCTCCCCAGTTTTTCCTGCAAGGGCACAGGGTCTCCCAGCTCCTGTTCCTCCCTTCCCCCTCTGGTTCCATGGTCCCTGCTCCTCTGAGGGACTGGCTTTCTACTACAGGGACACAGCGGGGCAGGAGAGATATCAGACCATCACAAAGCAGTACTATCGACGGGCCCAGGTGAGCCACCATTTTCAGGGTTTGGAGGTGGGACGCTGCCATCCACACTCCCCACTCTGGGTGTTTGAGATATTTATGTCACTGACTCCCAAAAGAGGGCCCTCAGATCGCCTGCTGGCAAGGGCAGTCTCAGGCAGTCTTGCGATTATTCATTGATCATTCATTCAATTATTAGTTATTCTCTGACCACACACTACAGGCAAGTCCCCCACCGTCATCCCCAGCTTCCACCCTCCACCCTGGGCCAAAGACCCCAGTCAGAATATTTGGTTCCTTCCCACCTCAGAGAGTTCCGTGATAGGCCTAGGGTGCAATAGCTTTGGGGGTATGAGAGAGAAGGAGAAGTTTCTGGGTGCTGAGGGATCCTCAGTATGCTAAGCAGGGAGAAGGGAGAGTGGGACCCAGCATTTAAGGTACCACACCTGCTTCCGGCCCCATGACTATGCACGGTCTCTGTGTGCATCTACCTCCCCCATTTCTCTCTCCTTCTCTCTCTCTCAGGGGATATTTTTAGTCTACGACATTAGCAGCGAGCGCTCTTACCAGCACATCATGAAGTGGGTCAGTGATGTGGATGAGGTAGGAGATGCTGCCTCATCGTTGGGGGCGGGGGAGGGGCACCTCAGAGGGGAAGGCAGAGCGAGGGCCAGATGGGAAGGGCCGAGGCTCTCGGGGTTGGTGAGCAAACACTCCCAGGAAACCTTGCCTTCCACGGCCCTGGATGAAGACCTCTGGGTGAGTAAGACATGGGGAAGGAGCCCAAGCTGCCATGCCATCCATGCTCTGTGCCCAGCCAGGACTCCATGGCTGTTTCGTCTTTGGAAATGAGTTAGGCCAAAGCCCACCCTGTGACCAGCTTCCTTCCTGAAATCGTGAGACTGGGGTTCTAGTCCTGGCTCTGGAGCCTCGGGCAAGCCATTTGAACTCTCTGAGTCCCCAGTTCTTCATCAGTAGAATGAAGGGCTGGACTTAAGTGCAATGCCCTTGCCAGTTCAGATACCAGTTGTCCAACTCCAGGAAGCACCAGTAGTAGTCAGAGTGCCTCCTACTCTAAGCTGTCCCCATAACAGCCCTCCGGGACCCCCGGGGTCGGCCGTGGCACTTGGGGAAGCCTTGCACCTGCACCCCATCAGCCTGCTCTGTCCCTAGGGCTCTTCAGCTTGGTGCTGGTATAGAGGCCAAGAGACTGTAGGGTGGGGAGACAGGAGGGAAAGGCAGCACTCACTGGCAGTTCTGCTTGTCCTTTGTCCCTAGTATGCACCAGAAGGTGTCCAGAAGATCCTCATAGGGAATAAGGCCGATGAAGAGCAGAAGCGGCAGGTGGGAAGAGAGCAAGGGCAGCAGGTAAGTGGAGCGAGCTGGCCGAACCCATCCCTTGGGTCTTCTGCCGCCTTCCGGGGCCAGTCCTGAGGGCTGGGACCCAAGATTCTGTCCCTGTCATCAGGCACCCTGGCACTTTCCAAAGTTCCCTAAGGCACTAGGGGAGTTGCCATCCTTGAGAATTTGCTTTCTGCCCTTCAGGACTGATTTGGGGTCCACCCTGAAACAAAGACCATCCAAAAACAAAGACTGTCCACCTCTAAGTGCCCCAGAGCAGGATTACCCTCTGCTAAAGAGATCATCCCAATGTTCATGGTGAGGAAGGGCTTCAGGTCGCTGGCTTCTCCAGCAGCATCCAGCCATGGCTACCATCTACAGGCATCCCACCCCGTCCTTCTATTGGAAAGGAGTAGGGAGGAAAATGAGGGAATGCAGGGCCCACGGTCAGAGAGAAGCCATGGGACAGAGAGGTCAGGAAGGTGGTGCCAAGGGAGACCGCCCTCCCAGAGCACAGAAGGATGGATACCACGGAGACGAGAGTCATCTACCCACTCCAAGGGCCTCCAGAGCTTTTCTCTCCCTCTTTGCGTCCATAGCGCTTAAGAGAAAATGGATCTTTTGGTGTGCAAAAATAACACGTGGTCATTGAAAAATCTGAAAGTAGAAGCAAATCCTCCTAGAGCAGTATTTATCGAACACTGTATGCGTGGCCAGCGCTAAGCAAGTGCTTTGAGACGCATGACCCCTTTTAGTCATTCCGTGACTTTGGTTGAGAGACACCCTCTCCCCTGTTTAACAGATGGCAGAGCTGGGCTTAGAGATATATTTGTCCACAGTCGTACAGCTGCTGAGCGGCAGCGCTGGTGTCTAAGTCTGGGTCTGTTTGATCCCAAAGCCCGTGTTTTTTATTAATTTGACATCTTGCCCAAGATTTTGATATATTTATCTCCTGACGTATGAGCTCTGTGCACCGGGGGCAGGGGTGTGTCTGCATGGAGGCGGGTGGGGAGTGCGGGAGGGTGTTTGTGGAACGTCTCCATGCTCTGCTAGCCTGTGTCTTAGAAGGAGCTCCCGGTTGGTCTGAGAAGCGACCTACTGTGAGAAATTGTCACGACACAGCAGGGGCTATGAGGGCAATGGCAGAAGTATGTGCCAGGTGCTGTGGGCACCTCCCTTCCCTTACTGACTCCCTTTCAGGAATGTTCTTTTCTTGCAGCTGGCTAAAGAGTACGGCATGGACTTCTATGAAACAAGTGCCTGCACCAACCTCAACATTAAAGAGGTGAGCGCTCCGAAGCCCAGCTACCCTGCCTCTTGGGCTGAGTCCAGTAGAGTGGGGAGATGAGAGGAGGCAGCGGACAGGACGGGAGCCCGGGTCAGATGAGCCCCCGCCCCTGGGACAGTTACAGGGCTGCCTTGGGAAGAGGAGGAGGAGCCCGACTAACCTGTGACCCTTGGTTTCCCAGTCTTTCACGCGGTTGACAGAGCTGGTGCTGCAGGCCCACAGGAAGGAGCTGGATGGTCTCCGGACACGTGCCAGCAATGAGTTGGCATTGGCCGAGCTGGAGGAGGATGAGGGCAAACCTGAGGGCCCAGCGAACTCTTCAAAAACCTGCTGGTGCTGAGGGTCCTGCGTGGAGCAGCCGCCAATCCCCCTCCCCTCAGGAGGCCTGTGGCAGACAGGGAGTCCGGGCTTTGCCCTGCTTCTCCTCTCACTCGGGTGACCCTGTGGAATACCAGTAGCTGCTACTCCCCTGCCTGGCCCTGAGAGCAGCCCCACTGTCATCTTTGAGCAGCCTCTGCCCCCAGCCCCTCCAGCCTGGAGTGGCTCCCTTCAGCCTGTTTCCCTGCCACGGGTCTGCTATGAGCCCCCAGTACGCTACGGGCACTGTCTCACCGCCCCGAGCTCCCCGGACAGTGGCCCAGTCTGGAGTACGGCCACTTTAAGGCCCCTTCTTTCTCAGTGCATCTTGCCTCCTCTCTGCTTTTTCTCTCATCCTCCCACTTCTCTTTCTTGTCCCCTTCCCCTCCAGTGTGTTTTGTATCAAAGCCCCTCACACCTCTTTCCCTGTATGTCCTCCTGTGTGGCTGCTGGTGCAGCTTCTTTCTTTCCTTTCTCCCTAACCCTGTCCAAGGGAATGGACTCAGGCTCATGGGGATGTTCCATATTCTTCTTCTGGGAGAACCCCCCTGCTTTGTGAAGGGGCCAAAGCCTACAGGGTACTTCTTCCTATCTTCCCTCCCCACCGTCGCGTCTCATGCCATGGGCCTGCCTCACCAATGGTCTGGGGAAATGTACATCAAGGCAGGAAGGAGACGCCAACCTGGTGGTCCTCAAGACTGGGGCTGTCCCACCTTTCCCTGCCTGCCCCCCCACCCCCCAGCTTGGGCCTTGCTTGGCCGCCCGCCCACCTGCCTCTTGGGGGAAGTGAGCTCAGAAGCAGGTGCTTCAGAGAAGAAAACAAAATGTTGTGGGGAGGCAGGGATAAAAAGTCACCTCCGTTCTCTACCTCCCGTGCCCCTTGTACGCAGTTTCTCCCCACCTGGGCTCCTGAATTTAAAGACATGCACCGAGGCCTCAGGGCACTGCAGGGGCAAGGAAAGCCAGGGGCCGGCGATATTGACAAGCAAACCACACACCCCCAGAAAGAGGAGTGTCTGGAGATGAAGGTCTAGCCCCTATATATCAGGTTAAAGCAAGGGGGAGGAGGCCAGAGACGGCATTGTGCACACCAGAGGGGAATATGGCAGGAGCAGGGCTCCCTGGGCCCCGGCTTCCCTTTCTGTGTAAGAAGGGCCTTTCCCCGCAACCCCCCTGGCAAGTAAGAGGGGACATATCCACCCAACCCAGCCTTCAGCTCTCAAGGTTTCGCTGAGACTCAAAGTCTGTGGGAGAAGAGCTGTGACTTCATGGGGAGAGAGAAAGAAGGCCCTGGGTAGAAATGCTTGGTGCTGTTCTCTTCAGCCTTCCAGACAAAGTGCTCATCTTGCCCCTCTAGCTCCTGGAACAGGAGCCACCGGCACTGTGGCTACAGGAGGAGGGAAGTGGACTCCCTCCTCCAGAGCTCTTCATTCAGGAAGAAGTTCCTTTAACCCCACATGGCCCAAGAGTGGCTTGAAGGAGGTGCTTTAAAGAAGGAACAAGTCAGTTAGCAGCCCTAGTAGGGTTCCTCCCCACCTTCCCAAGGAGGAGGCTCATTCTTAAGCTACATATTAGCAGCATCACATGGCTAGGGCTGGAGCTAAGACAACACTGAACGTTCATCAACTAAGGACCAAAGTCCAGGGCACACACAGGTGAAGGATGAAGAGCCCCACTTCCTTATTCCTCCCCCCGCCAAAAAAAAAAAAAAAAAAAAAAAAAAAAAAAAAAAAAAAAAAAAAAAAGGTGGGGAAGAAATGACCAAACCTTTCCTTCTGACTCTTATCAGAGTAGGAGAGGGTAGCTCAGGATGTAGGGACAGGGATAGGTTAACCGTAGTGGAAGGAAAAGGAGGGCAGGAATAGTTATAAATTGTTAGCTAATGAGAAATTTAGATAAAGACTCTTTAGGATGAAGTCATGACTATGGCTGGGATGCTTTCTTGAGGACTGACTCCTCAGGTGTTAGACACAGCATCACACTGGGGGCAGGGAGATGGTTATGCCAACCCACAGTGTGCCCTCTGCCAGGGACTTCAGGGCGCTAGCTCCAACCTGGATCAGTATTGCAGCTTTCCCTGAGGATCAGGCAGAGCACCATTGCCTTTCTCTCCTAGCCCCCTTGGGACAGAGGGACTATATTTTTACTGTACCCTAGGGGTTCTGGAAGGGAAAGCATAGGGTGGAGATTCTATGAATTGATTAGCCCCATCCCCAAGGGCCACAGCTGGGGAGAGGTATGGGAGCCAGAGGGTTGAACTTTTAGGGTGCAGCTATGCTCACAAGGAATTGGAGTCGGCATCTCACCCCTAAACTTCTCCAGTCCAAGAGGTGGCCTGGGATCTGGCATTAGGCCCAGAGTTTTGCACAGGTACTTCTGCCTGTTTACTTATCACCTCTGCATCTGCTGTCTTGAGATTCAGCCCAGCCCCAGGCATTTCCACCTGCTCCAGAGCCCCCACCATCTCCCTGTGACGGGTGAACTTTGTGTACTGTGTCTCAGAACCAATATATGACTTGTGAGCAGGGTTCATCTATTTTAAACACAGATGTTTACAAAATAAAGAATATTTCAAACCAGAGGTATGGCTGCCTGTATGAGTCCCCGGGAGTAGTTTTCACTTGACCCTGTCAGATAAGGGGGAGAGGGAGAGGCAGTGCCAGTAAAAGAGGCTCCAGAACCCTATAAAGCAACAGTAGTAGAATGACAATGGAAGCAGCAGACCGTCATCTTCCTGCAGGGGAGCCCAGCCATACCCCCGATGCTCTCTAGTGGGCCTACAGTGCAGAAATAAGATTGAGTCACTGGCAGGATGCTGAATATCTATGTCTGAAGGAGTCTTTAAAGCCAAGAACGTTCTCCTCTGTCTGGGATGGACAGGAACAAGTCTTCCTGAAGCATGAGGAGGGATTAAGTAATCTTTCACTGTGCATTTCCTGCCTCCTTTAATGGCCAAAGATTCCATTCCCACTCAAGTAATGGAGGCTTGTTTTTAGGGAGCAGCCAAGAGAGACACAGGTTCCCATGGGCTCTAAAGACCTATGGAACAGGCCACAAAAGCCAGAAAAGCTGGACACTCCCTGGTGACTAGTTCCTCCATCTTCTCAGCAAATCAGATTCTCAATACCAGCTGCTCCCAAGCCTTGCTTATTTGTTCTCGAAGACAGTTCCCAATGGACATGTACCTGTGAAAACACTCTCTAGTAAACATTTGCATTGTTATTGAAATAACACTCTAAAAATCCCAAAGCCAGGTAGAGTCTAATTGCCAGTTTTACTGGTAGAGAAATCCAGACATTAAAAAAAAAAAAAACAAGAACAAAACACGAATTTGTTGAGCTGGTAGGTGCTTGGAAGAATGAAGCACACTAGCTCTTCCCTTAGGTCCTCACATGTCCTGCAGTACACTGCATATCTAGGGCTGAAAACATCACAGGTGGCCCGACTTGGTCTAGAACCATGGAAGCTTTGGCTCCCTGCACACTTCTTCCATGGGGGAATGACCAGCACCAGCCTGCTGTGAGCAGTCTTTGGGACTGAGTGTCTGAGAGAAGGCAGGTGCAGCTCATGCCCTTGGAGCTACTCACCTGCTCTGCGACTCCTCCCCATTACCCCGACCATGACTGATGTCAGCCGCATGACCCTGTGGAGCAGAGTGGAAGGCCTCTGCAGTGCCATGCAGGGGGGCAAGGGCGCAGGCAGTCTCCAGCACCAGTAATATCACTCACTGAAAGACTTTCCAAGACAAACTTCATCTCTTCTGCCTGGTGCAAGCTGAGCCACTGAAAGCCATTATTTCTAGAAAATCACACTGTCCTCCTAAGGGTCCCTTTGATTTTGTGCGCGTGGAAGGCAACAGCCAAAGAAAAACACATGCACGGTAATATATAGGTTTCAGTTGTAGTCTGAGTTGAGGGAACATGTATCCCAATTCTCTTCCTCATCTTTCAGATCTAGGCAGACCCTGACCTCTCAGTGGCACAGTTCAGAGCCTGGCCCTCCGCAGACAATAAACGTCTGTGCCAAGTAAGAACAACTTGCTGGGGCAGGTCGGAGTCAATCCTGCATCCCTCCCTCCCTTTTTTCCTCCCCATTTGACCTTTGGGGCTCTAGTTTCCTGCAAGTAGTGAATTATTCATGTTTGCACATAGATATCAAATTGGCCCTTCCCAGGTTGCCAGCAGGGTGGGGCAGGTAGGTGGCTTTGTTCAGAGTCTGTAAATAGGAGGAGCAACCTCCTTGTTGAAACAGCACTTACAGGTGGGTGACTGTTTTTGCTAAGTCATCCTGGGGATGCTCAAAGCCCCATTGTGAAATCCTTCCTGTCCGGCCAGGCTCCTCCTTCCTCCCCACCCCTTTAACAGACCCTTAAGCGGGCTCACACCATTCTGCAGGTCTCAGTCTGCACCTTCACCATGGCTTACATAGCCAAGTCTTTCTACGACCTCAGCGCTATCAGCCTGGATGGGGAGAAGGTAGATTTCAATACGTTCCGAGGCAGGGCAGTGCTGATTGAGAATGTGGCCTCGCTCTGAGGCACAACCACTCGGGACTTCACCCAGCTCAACGAGCTGCAATGCCGCTTTCCCAGGCGCCTGGTGGTTCTTGGCTTCCCTTGCAATCAATTTGGACATCAGGTGAGGGGTCCCTTGCATTGTACCCAAGGAGGTGGGATGGTGAAGCTTTGGTAGGCTAAGGGGAGGGGGAGGATGACCGTGTGTTGGAGTGTCTGGAATCACAGGTATGTTTTGTTAATCCAGGTCTTTAGGTACATGTGAATACCAGGGGGAAGTGTATGTGGTTCTAACTATGCTTAAACACTGTTTATTGTCTTTCCATTACACTCCATGAGGGCTGGTACCAGGTCTGTTTTTCTCTACACTGTAGAGAAGGCACTCATTAAATATCCGCTGAATGGATGAGTGGAGGACATAGATCAACAGTCAAACTAGGATTGGACTGACCAAGGGGAACTTAGTTCCA